CCAGGCGCTAGGCGGGGAGCAGGGAGCCCGGCCCCGGGGCCACGCCCCGCTCCAGTCACACCCCCACCTCCCCAGCGCGAGCTGCAGCTGGGGGCGCAGAGCAGCCGCGCGCGGGGGCTCCGGGCTGGGAAGCGCCGGGCAGGACCGTGGCCCGGCCGGGAGAAGCAAGGGGGCGCTGCAGCGGCTGCCCGGAGACGCACCTCGGCGGGCAGGCACCTGGAGTGCAACCTGCTCCCGCCAGAGCCCGGCTCTCCCCTCGCGCCCAGCCAGAGCCGCAGCTCCCCGCTAGGGACTGCGGGGACGGCCCCACCTGCCCCTGGGCTGCACCGCGCCGTGCACACCCTTGGCAGGGCAGCAATACCAACCGCGCAGTGAGCTCGAGAAGGCGAGCCAGGCTAGAGTGAGCAGCGGCCGGGCTTGTCCCGGTGGAGCGGAGCCGAAGGGAAGGGCTGCTCTCCGCACACCTCGCAGGGAGAGCTTGCCAGTAACTGCCTACAGTATCGGGCCGGGCTCGGCTGCAGCAGTTTCGGAAGACTGGCTCTCATGCCTGGCAGCCCTGACCTCTCTGCAAAGGTGCCGATGGGACAAAGGCTATTTCAGGAGTGAGTGTCAGGACTGTCGTCCAGCCAGGGCTTGGAGTTAGCCAGGACAATCTTCGGCCAGGGTCTCTCCTTTTTGCTGCCTTCTCTAGCATCTAAGCTTCAATTTTATATAGATCTCCTGCTGGTATGGTTGCACAGACAGCCCTGAAAATTCAAATCAAATGCAACTGATGCACTACACGAAACTACGTTGGGAGAGCTGTGAACTTCCCCATTCATCTCCATGGGGGCTAACGCTGCTGCCCCCTGCTAATTTAAAAAACGATTTCACTGCTCATTAGAGCACGTAAGAAGGGAGAGGGAGGAGTATAGTTCAAACAGCTGCACAATCTGGGGGGTTGTCTAACGTGGGCAAGGCTTAGAAAAATACCACTTTTTGTTTTGCGCCTGAGGCTCCCAGATTATTATGGAGTAATACTGGCAGGGTTCCCTTCTGGGCCCACTCAGTCCTTGGCTGAGGTGCTCACCAGTACGATCTGGCTGTAAAGCAAGCGTAAAGTGCTCTTGGAATTCCACTTGCCATTTTCATTCAATACTTTCATCTATGCAGCAATGTACATTTAGCCCAGCGACATCACACGGATCCTGATTTCAGAAACTGTTACTGCTTATGAACAGACTTGAGTTCACACATTTCCTGGGGGCTAATACCCTTCCATACCTGTCCTGGGTAGGATATGGGTTCAAATTACAACACAATTCCACTCCCCTGTAGTTTAGCGTTGCCTGTCAGTACTAAGGTATAGTGAGTAGGAGGCAAGAACAAGGGAATAGAGAAGGTGAGGCAACAAAGGCAGAGGGTCACTAATTCAGCTACATCACTTCAGGTTCAATGATATAAGTCCTCCTTAAATGAGGTTAAATACCCTGCATTTGGAATACTGTAGGGGAGACAAGATTTTGTTTCTCATGCAGCTTCAGAGCAAGATGATAATGCAAGGGAATAATTTGCCAAGGGATCAAAGGCTGCCGTGGATGGGCATGGATTCAACATCGGTTGTTCAAGCTTTCTTGCTTGCATGAGGGTCTTGGTGATGCAATGTGTGGTATAAGCTTCTTTCTGGTTTCACAGTGAGCAAGATGTTGAGGATGTGGGAGGGGAAACTTCAAGCATGCACACTAACTCAGTGCACACTGCTGGCCATCATTCTGCAAAATTAGGTGACATCCTAGATCATGTTACAGAAGGATCTCTCCATATAGTCACATCATTTAGGTAGCTAAGGCCATGATAAAATGTAGTGCTTCGGATCCACAAATGTTCTATGGAGAATGAATGCCTCTATTATTTCACAAGATGAAACAAGTATTAAATGTAGAAACTGACAAGTTAGTCAGCCTCTTACTCTATCTATTCTGGCATCCTGGCTCCAGAAGTGGCCTGTCCAGGATGCCTTAGATGAACAAGCTCCTAGGGTGCCTAGCCATGTGCACTATTAAATATGGGGAGAAAATCCTTCCTGACCCCATGCAAGTGGTCTGGCTTATGCCGTGAAGATTAGCTGTTCTCAATGGAATGATATTATATAAAGGAAAATTTAAATGCAGCTCTTATGACAATTTAAGTTACTCTAACTTCACTCTTGTGACAGCCATGTAATTGTTACATAATTATTCTCCTTGCTAGCTTGCTATATATATAGTGTATGTGTATTACCAATAAGCCCATGTACTGGAGCATACACCTACATCAACTCTTCTTCCAGTCAGAGCAATTCTTTAACATATGTTAGGTCCAGAACGAACTCAAGCATATGGGCCTTGCAGTTTTATGTGGAAAGAATTATCCAAAAATATTTAGCTGCTTGCATAGGCAAGTTATTCTAGTCAATAGATACACTGAAAGAACTGGTGGTCTCATGTCAGATCTCATACAGTCAACTGTGTACATCCAAATCCACTGAATAATTCAGGTCATTTATTTCCCTACAGATGACATGCAGTACCCAGGAAAGGAAACCGGATTAAATTTGAGAGACCGTGGTGCACTGCAGGCTCGACAGTATTACTGCAATAATCACTTTTACTTGTCAATACTGGGACTGCTGCCCTGTACAGTCCCCAAATTCATCACAAAAATAACTTCTACTTCATTCATCTTAACTTCTACTTCATTCATCTCAATGCATATATTAAAACCCAGGGAACTCTTGAAGGATTTTAGCAATTTATTTGTGTTAATTACAAGTCTGGCTGTAACTACATTTTCACATTATGAAGTGATTTTTTGGCCTATTACGGCAAACCCTGTTACAGACCATTTGATTCAGTGCTTGTGCTGTCATTGCTCACCAAAAAAGGGATTTCAACAGAAGTTGTTACGTCATTTACAAATCTCATCCTCGCTCATCAGACATCTTTTAAAAACCACATATGGAACAGCTGCCCGTCCCCAGCCAGAGCATGGAGAGCTGGGCTCCAAAAAGGCAAAGTCTATATGCTCCACTTCCATTAACAATTCAGTAGGTAACAACAGAAACACAGATAATCACAGGGCTTTCTTAAGAGAAGACTGGATAGAGTGCAGGCGCCCGCAAGAAAAATTCAAAGCAGAAACTAATGGTCAGAAACATTAGGGGAAGAACAGAAGCATAGAGATTCTTCCCTACTGCCTACTTTTCATTGAATTAGTGCAGTCTGATGGCACATTTTCTCTAGCTAGCAATGGATTATAGAATTAAGTGCAGTAGGAAGATACAGTGCTCAGACATTAAGGGATAAGGTGTACCTGTGCTCTAAAACACATTTAAAAACAACCAATTAAGCCCTGGATTGTTGTAAACACTGTACCAATCAAGAAACTGCAATTTTATTGTTACATTTTAATAAGTAAAAATCACAGAGCTAGACAGAGGGTATTAAAAAACAGGTTTTGTATTTTGCTCCATCTGCAATTATGAAGGGTAAGAGCAATAGGTTCATGAAGGCAATATAATTAAAAACATCAGTGTATAAGATTTACAAGTTCTTACGCTCACTGAACTAAAAGTTAGCCTGAAATAAAATATTTTTTAAAAATTTATTCAGATTAAAAAAATAAATGCATGTTTTTCATTCGTTTCCAAATGCTCCTTTCTCCCAGTCACTTCATGTATTGCATTTTCTCAGCCATATCTTCTTTTGTCTTAAATCAGGGCATAACTGAGTTTGCATTACTCATCAAGTAATCTTCTGGTAGCTAGAAAGAAAAATGAAAACTTAATTACTAATAAATATATAGATATAGATATCTATCATATCAAAGGCAACTTTTAGGAGGAATTATAGCCAAATACAATTTGAAACATATGGCTTCATAGTTAGATGGGAGTAAATCCCTTAACTCAGGAGTTAAAAGTACAACCCAAAGATTTGCAAGGCTCCTAGCCCACGTCAGAGACTTACCTTTGGTTAACATTTCTTTTCAGAACAGCCCATTCACCTGTTCTGACACTGGATCCAAGTCAATATCATAGAAACAGGGGCGAGTAGGAAGTCCTGGCATAGTACTCATCTAGCAGACAGAAGGAAAAGTGTATTAGTGGATAGAGTCTGGGATTGGGAATTATGAGGGCCTGGTTCTGTTTTTGGCTCTTCCATTGACTCAGTGAGACTTTGTACAAACGATTTAGCCCAAGATTCGGCAAAGCACTTAAGCATGTGCTGAAATTTAAGCATGTGCATAGTTCCACTGATTTCAATGGAACGACTCATATGCTGGATGAGGCAATAACGGTGCCACGGTTTCCCTGTTAGTAAGATGGGGATCTCAATACCTCACAGGACTGTTGTGGGGCCTTCAAGTATGTCTGCATGTCGAGCTGGATGTGTAAATTCTAGCTTGTGGTGACACAGCTGCACTAGCTCCGATAGAGCAAGTGGGCTAAAATAATAGAGTACAGCGTGACAGTGTGAGGGGCTAGTCACCGTGAGTACATACCTGTCCAAGACATTCTCAGCACAGCTAGCCTCTCTCGCTGCTGAGGCTGCATTCTATTTTTAGCACACTAGCTCCGATCATGCTCGCATGGTGATGTCTCCTCAAGCTGGAATTCACACCTCCAGCTCAGTGTAGATATACACATAATGAACACGTCAGAAGTGCTCGGAGAGCCAAGGATTGAAGGCACTACCTAAGTGCCCAGTACTGACTTGAAAAAAAGAGAT